AAGAGTCAAAGAAGCTATGCGGTGCCAAAACCGCCCCAACTCAGGCTCGGGGCCATAGCCCTAGACGATCAAAATCCCGAGTAATGGCGTAGAATTTTAAGCTGATCTCAGCCACGTAGGCCTCAGAGCAGCTTGCTGCCTAAATTTTGCTCTGGCAGGCTCAGCTTCATGCGCGCAGGGCTTGGCATGTCGGTGCCGACTCCGTGGCCACAGCGCCTCGTTTGACAATGTGGCGAAGACGCAACATGTACAATGCCAAGCTGTTAGACGGCTTCCTGTGGAATTTCCCTGCCCCTGCGGTCTAGTGGCCCAAAAGCTCCCTGGCCCCAAGTGTAGAGCCCGCCCAGCTGATCCACAGCAGCGGTGTGGGCCTTTTCAGCTCAGGAAAGCAAGCTGCAATCTGGCACCCAAAACACCCCGGTGCCTCACCAGCGGCCACATACGTGATGTTTACGCCCTGCAAGCTGGTAACCAGCCTGTCGAATGCCAAGGCGGATCGCAGCGTCGGGGCTGGGAAGTAGAGCTCGACTATCTCTGCTCCCGCTCATCCCTAAACCGAGGGAGGCCATGGGGCACTGCGCACATCTCCACGACAACCATGCTTCACAAACACACACACACACATCACAAAAGAATTATAGCCCCGAGTGCCGCGTTTCAGACCGCTCCGGCCAGGGTCCCCCGGTTTGAAGTTTTCTTGCTGCGAACGAGCGTCACCCAATAAATCATTCTGCAGCTGGCAGGTGACACCCCAAATGGTGGAGCTATCAAGTCCTAGTCTTCCAGCAAGGCCTGTAGATGCCCACTGTCATTTGGCACAGCTGCAAGACTAGTGATTGGAGCCCTTTTCTGTTCCGCGTTGGGCTGATTGGTCAGTGGCCTAGCGCCAGAGAGGTTGCCAGGCAATCACGCGAAGGGATCTTCGAAGTGCTCATCCACCAGCTGCTCCTTTGAGCTCTCAGCTGGCTCCTCTTTGGGACCTGGCTGTCGCTCGATCATCTGGCCCAGGTGCCTCGCAACACTTCAACTTTTTGACTTCACCGACCCAGGCTTTCGAACCCTGAACCCCCAGCATCATAGCATTCTGCAGCTGCGCGGCGAGATCTCGCTGAGCGTCGCCGCTTCCTCTGTTTCGAGCTTCCGCTTGCGGGCAGCTTCGCCCTGGGACTACAAAAGCCCGCATGCAATGAGACTCTGAAAAGGGTCTCGAAAATGCAGCTAGTGAACACTAAAGAACAAAGCAAACCGCATCAAGAGAAAGCACTGGCCTTCAGGTGAAAAGAGTTGCTCCAGGTGCGGGCCAACAGTGCCGCCTTCCACAGTTGGAAATTGGATCTGCTGCAAGGTATGGCCCTTGGATGGCCCTGCGCCTCCTCTCGGAGCTCGGGGTGCTCCGCAGCACGTCTGGCCGCCAAAGGAGCGAGATTCAACAGAACCACTTCTGAGCGGCTGAGGGGCAGCAGCCTTGGAGCAAGGGCGGAGGCTGCATGAACGAAGCCTTGTCCCCACAAACCATAAAGTCACCTAATATCAGCTTTTGTCGACATCTGAATCCGCAAACTTCCAAACACCGAGCGTCCGCAGCACCACCAAGCAGGCACGCAGGCAATTGGTCTCTTCCTGCTCGGGCTTCGTAGGTACATCAACGGAAGGTCGAAGAGAGTAAGAGTAACAGCTGAGAGTGAGTTCATCTCTGACGTTCTCAGGCCCGAATCCCTTCTCCTCGGGTTCTGATAGCCACTTCCGGAGGAGCTCCAAGCCCCCCAACTCCTCCGAGGCCACGGCTCCGCACGGTTCCGCAAGGCGCTAACCCGGCCAAGGAGCCACGAAGCGGGAGAGGCGGCCGGAAATCTCCGGATCTGACTGCCGTGCCTAGGACGGGCAGCTTGGGATACTCGAGCCATCTCGGAGCTGTTGAGCAAAGAGAGTGCCATGGTCTTGAAGTCTTGAGTTCTCCCAGATCATACTTTCTACCGTCTGCGTTTCTGGCTTATGACACCTGCGGCCTCACCAAACCTGAAGAGGTTTCCTTCAGTCCTGTCTCTCATTCCAGGCGGCAGCATTTCAGTCAGCAAAGCACAAACAAAGCCTTCATCATCACTGTGCCTCGCATCAATCTTCTTCCGAGCCATCTTCGGAAGCGTGTCCTATGTTTTTTTGACAGACAACTTGGCAAAGCCATCTTAACATAACTCAATAGGCAGCACAGCCTCTCGCGGCCCTCGCCCATGCTGCGTTTCGGGAGTGCAGCTTCAAATGCAAACCACATCGACATAACCAACCAACACGGGAACTCACGAACTGAAAGTCATGTGTGCGGTGCACTCCAAACTGAAGGAGATCAAGCATGGACGATGGGCATGGTTGTCGTGCCAGTTCACTAAGCCTAGTCTTAAGAGAACTCGAACGAAGTCGCAACCCGCATCTAACACACCAGGCAGCGCTGTCATGACAACCTAAGGCCCAAGCATGATGTGGGTGTGTTTTACCTGCAAGCGTGTCCTATGTCTTGTGAATGTTGCTGCGCTGCTCGGCATGCCACCACACTTGTCTTGGCACTCAAAATTCAGAACTGTGCTTGTGTACTGCTTGCAAGCAAATGCTGTTGGTTCAGCTCACTGAGCCATTGAGCAGATCATGACTCAAATCGCTTCTGGGGTGAGTATTGGGTACCTGGGTATGCATGGGCCAGGCCGCCCCAGCTACAGGGATAGACGCCCACCCACCGGGGGGTTGAAAGGGGAGAACCGATGCCCATGCAAAGGCAAGGAAAGTTATCAACCCAAACCCCAATCCACCCGCCCAAGCACGGGCACGGGCACCATGCCATCGGGGGCAGAGGGTAGACATCGCAATAATATCAAGCCCAAGATCTGGAAGCAGCAACAGTGGGCAATCGAACCCCACGTGACCCATGGTCGTGTCTGCTGGCATTCTTGAGATGTTGCCGTGATGCCAAGATCCCAAGCTTTGGCCCAAAGCTGCCGCTGTCACACAGGGGGGGGCCACTGACGTTCCGATGTGGCACCATATATGCGCTGCGGGTGCCGGTGCTGGTGCCCTTGTCCGTGGATGTCGAGGTGCCCGGTATTGGGGCCACTGTTTATATAATTCCGTGCCGATCCATGACATGAACACGGCAATGGAAGGCAACTGCCGCAAGCTCTGACAAAGCTATCTTTCGTGACGTCTACCGCGAAACATCTGCAATTTGCAAAACCGCCTCACCTTCGCCACAAGCTAGCTAGTTTCAAGAAAACAAACTTCAAGGGTAGGAGTTTGTTTAGCTACAAGCAAACTAACTGGCCTTCGTAGGTGCAGACCATGGCAGAGGTAGAGGGGCGGAGGCCGGGGGGCGGGGGGAGAAACAAACTAACGCGGAAACTCTGGGTCCACGAGTTTGCTTCGGAGGACGAAAACAAACTCGGACCATGTGAGTTTGTTTCGGTGGCGAGAAACAAACTCTGGCTGGGAAAGTTTGTAGGGTTGGTAGATTTCGCTTTTATTCCTTTCAGAGTCAGCCGTGTTTTATTGGCAAGTGCACTTGACAAGAAGACACTTTGCGGTCGCAGGGGCCGTCTTCTCCAAGGCCTCCAAGAGAACGATGCGTTCTGCACCAGCGGCCCGATCAGCTGCCTCAAGCAATGCCTTCAGCGCTGCTTGCTTCCAAGAAGCGCTTTGAAAAGCAATTTGAATCAAGAAAACATTGGCAACAAACTCAAACTATGTCAACAGCAACATTCATCGGCAGAAGCTAAGCTTCATCATCAGGCAGAAGGGGCAGTTAGTAGTAGTGGTCGCCGCTGTCGGCGTGGTATGGCGTAGTCGTTGTCGTGGTAATGGTCGTCGTACAAGCAGCAGCAGGAGGAGCAGCAGGAAGAGGAGGAGGAGTGACAGTAGTAGGGGTAGTAGAACTATGTCTTCTTATGTAGAACTTATCTTCTTGTTAACGAGTAGGTGTAGAATTCTTAACCGCAAGACATTGGAAATTTCGACCGCCGATGTTGGTGCCCATGCTGGACCGCCCCCACTTAGCTTTCTTAAAGGCGAAAGTCTTGCCCCTCCAGAACTGACGGATTTGTGGATGAACCGTGAATCGTCATGCCGGACGGCTTTGCATGCCTGTTTCTGGGTGGTCAAAAGACGATTGTGGTTCCTGTGCTGGGCAGCCAACCTGTATGAAAAGGCGGTGTTGTTGCCTGCGCTGAAATAGTCCGAGCGAGACTGCTCCTCACCTGGCTCCCCGATATCTGAACATGCTTTTGATATAAACAAGCGATTGCTGCCCGTGCTGGGCTTTCCCGATTGGCATGACTCCAAGAACGACTGTAAAGTGATGCACGGGCAGTAAGGAAGCGTCGCAACTTCGATCCATGGAGGAGGCAACAACATAAAGTGACATAGTACCGCGGACGCTTTCGGAAAATGTTCTAGAAAGCACAGATGCACACTCCCGTCGCACTAGTGAAACAGTGCGAACTGAATCATCCCAAGTGTGTTGGATGCTCGTTCCATGAAGGTGCTGGCATAGCCCCGCCACGCACGACCCCATTCTCCAGGAAGGAAAGGGCCTGCTCCTGCTGAGTCCAAACCGGAGGCAAACACTTCAGGGTGGCGCCACAGGCATGGCTGAGCGGCTCTCATGCAGAACTTCTTGAACGGGTGAGCATATGTAAGCATGGTGATTAATTATCGGTCGTGGTGTCCCAAATTGTTAACAAAAGCCACGTCCTCCTGGCGAGAGGAAACCACATCTGCGTGGCTGGCAATCGGGTCGGCCTGTCGGAGCGAGAAGGCCACAGGCAAAGCGCGACCTCCGTTCCACCGCCGATTAAGACGATTGTGGGCCATGCCTCAAGCCTTCCTAGTCTACTGCCACCTATTGTAGTGGTCCCGCAATCAACCGGAACTGCTTGGAGTCCTGTTGGGCATGGCTGATAGCGGCGGCAGCACTCCCAGACCTGCACCCGATGGGGAGATAAAATCAAATCCGAAGGCTGAAGTCGGGGACGAGCATACCGTTTTCGGCTAATGGCGGCCACGCTAGTCCGCTAGTCTTGGACGAGGTCATGACAGGCTTCGTTTCGCATAATCGTAGCTCCGAGGGCGTGGCTTGTCTTCCAAAGGCTGGGCACCTCCATGAGCTAACGTGTCAAGACGCTCTCTCTCGTAGCTTGCAGCTAGCACACTCTCCAGACGAGATGGCTACAGCACGTGCGCGGCATGTTCTTCGTCGGAGCACGGGTACGACGCCAGCCCCACAGATTTCCCGCCGTTTTGCAGGCCTTGACCGAGCTCTTGGCGCCAGCGCGCCTCACGACGAAGCCTTGCAGCACTGGCCGCATGTGCGCTCATCAACGCGAAGCTCTTCGGTGTGCTCACTCCACCTCACTCCTAACAGTGCCGCGAGGGCAGTGAGCAGTGACCATAACCCTGTGGCCGTGCCTCAGGAAGTGCTCGAAGAGAACATCCTCGTCAAGCTCCTGTCTACATCCCTCCCCCATTTGTTCTGCGACCCTTCTCCGTCACTGCTCAGAACCTCAGGCAGCGCTTTCAGGGCCTCTCAGCAAGGACGTCTACTGTACAACGCCAAGCGAGTCCTGCTTCAAAATGATCTGCTGGTTCTGCTCCGAGGAATTTGCAGCCGGCATGGCAAGGACATGGGGATGGCAGGCCCCTTCGAGGACTGCGGCTCGGCCACATTTTCCCGCAAACACGTGATTTTCTGAAAAGTACTGGAGACCCAGGATCATTTGCTTTTGAGAGAAGCATCGGCTTCGTCCTAGCAGATCATGAAGAACTACCCCCATGCAGAATCATGTGCAGGACAATTTGATCTGGGCCTCATCTTTGCCGGAACACGGATGGAAAAGTGATAAAACCTACGACACGCGGAGTGAACTCGTGATCAACCAGCAGCCAGTGAGTGTTCCAGCAGGCTGCATGCACATGTGCGGGCTGCGTCCGGCTTTGTTGCTCTTGGCTGCTTCCGCCCTCAGTAGCTCCGCGCAGCACTGACCAAGAGCATTCCGCATGAGAACTAACCTTGGAACATAGACGTGTGTGTGAAATGTAGACCACGCACTGACTCCCGAAATGCGGAGTCTTCCAGCAACTTCTCCTGGAAGCCTCCACGAGTGCTCCATAGCCTCAAGAAGGCCGTAATTGACCCAGCCACAATGCGGCGAAGGAAAAGAAATCATTCACGTTTTTTGTCGCATGCTAATTATGCTCTATGCCAGCCTGCTTTTTAGCATCACGGCGGGTCTGATGTGTGCCATGCGCAGTTCACGAGCTTTCAGGCTCTGAATTCGGGTCGGTGCAGCGCCTTCTCTTTGCAACTTGACGTGCATTTCCATCCAGGCTTCTCTCAACACTAACTCCGTGCGCAATCGACTCTGATGAGGCCACGCGCTGTGATAGAGAAGGCAGCCTGCCTGGGAATTAACCAACAACTTTTTGTGAAACTAACAGCGGCGCTGCCCAGGAGCTCAGATGCTCAAGCACCTTGGAAAGGCACATCCAGCATGGAAGCTGAAGCCACCCTCAGTGGCAAGTACTGCTTGGCGAGATAACCCGGCCGTCGAACAGCTTGCTGGTGCCCCTAGCTCGAGCTTGCTGCTATGTGCTGCTTTCGGACGAGCTGAGTGCTAGACTTGGGCAGGCCCTCCACGATTCCTGGGGCTCGCTGTTGCCGTGCGATTGCCTTCATCGCAGGATGGGCCTCTTCCTCATCCTCCTGAGAATCTCGTGGTGGCGCTCATGCCAAATGGACTGCTGGGAACAACTTGCTAAGCAATGACAGCCGCTCCTCATCCGGGGGCTTCTGAAGCGAAGCCTCGCAGGTCGAGAGGGAGGGACGGGTGGCAGGAAGTGCCTGTGCGGATGTTCCAAAAGGCAAGTTGTTCGATCGTACTTGAAACCCGTAGTTCAAAACCTTGCGCAGAGACACCCCCTGCCTTTGGTGAATGGAAATCGTCCTCGTCAGACTCGGGTTCGATCCATGTCACAGACTGCTCCAGCAGGTAGCTGAGGCAAACCTCGCACACTCTCCGCAGGCATTTGCGGGTAATGAACGCGGCTGGGATTGCAAGTCGAGCATGGCCTTTTTCGTAGGCGGGAAAGGTCTCACCCTGAAAAACCCAAGCAGCCCCTAGCCCTGGCTGGCCCCGGCTGGCCCTGGCTGGCCCTGGCTGGCCCTGGCTTGCGTCCAGGCAGCACGGTCAGACCGCCAATCGGTTGAGGCATCCTCTGCGGTTTCATCCACCTCCTTCCGAGTGCTACAACACAGTCGATGGAGGTCTCTCCATCAAGGACCGTCGATGAGCCTCCACTAGAAAAAGTTCTCCTGGCAAACAGTTTTCCTTCTAGTGCCAAAGGGAGCCTTGCGGAGTCGATGTCCATGCGGTCCATGACACATAATGATACTTCTGCCACGTGCTGAAATTCTTCTTTGGCATTCGACTTTCCATTTTGGTCCCGTTCTGGAGTTTGGGGACAAGGCAAGCGCCTCCGGGCCCGCTAGCGCCTGCTGCCGGCTGTGCGCCTCGCGGCCTCCAACATCGGAGAGGCGCGGAGCTTTCAAATCAGAGGCGTTAGAAAACGAGCTTTAGCTGCTACGGGCATTACTTTCTGTTTACCGCAGGGGTCTTTCTGGCACATGAGCTCGCTGTTACTCCTGAGTTTCCAGTTCCGCTTCGCAGGATTGGCGACATCTTGCCGAGTCTTGTTGGACCTGCTAGGCCCTGCTAGGCTAAACAGCAACAGGCTGTTCGAGCACCAGCCAACAGACAGAGCACGAGAAACCCGCGATAAACAGTGATCCCTCGTCCCGAACGAAGAAACTCAAGCAAATACTGCCATACTATTCTCCACTGGTAGCCTCATTCTCCGGGAATATGTCGGCAACACATAAGGCAGCTCACAGCCATGCAAAGCTGAACCGACAAGCAAAGCTGCTTTGGAAAACCGCAGCCTGCGTGGAACGAGCTGCGAACTGCTGCCGGCGGCTCGGGGCCACGAGTGCCGAGCTCCAACCTGAGAGGTCGCACGGAGGATCTGAGGACGTGCGCTGCTCTGCTCGGAGCCAAGGCACAGGACGATGCGGGCCAGGCGGAGCCAAGCCTCAGCGAAGCGCTGACCTCGAGGCTCCGCTCGCCGACCGGAGCCTTCGCCCAGAGAAGTGCTATGACAGCTGGACTGGACTGGGGCGCTTCGCACAACTTTAAACAATTGGGGACTTCGCTGCCTGTGCTTCCGGCATCAGTTTGCTGTTGCTGGCATGGCCTGAAAAAAATTGCAAGACTTGGCCAGCGACTGGGTCTCCATGGACGGAAAAAGGCATGACGACTTGGGAAGCTGGCACGAAAAGGGGCGAACCATCCCCTGGCTGTGGTGAGAAGTCCAGCTCCACCTGGGGGTCGCGGCGCCAAGGCGAGTCAGTCCAAGCCCCAAGAAGGTTTGCAGAGTCCCGTCACAGTTCTGCACCGAATGTGAAAGAATCGCCTCGTCATCCTCTGCCTCATGGCACCCTGCACAGAAGGCAGCATTGCCGCTTGAATTCCAACGCATCATGCGCGGTGCATACCTGTGGTTGGGGGACAAGCCCACTTGCCTACACAGACAGAAGGCAGGCCTTCTTCGCGAGGGCTGCACTGCTGAATTGCGGCCTTCGCACATGACCTAGGCATGAGTCCACACGAAGACCTGGTGCGCAGCGCGGCTTAGGTTCAGCCAAGGTACACGGACCGTTTTCCTTAATTGCACATTGCTGCATAAACACTTGCTTCGCGGAAGATGCCCTGACCAAACACAAGACGCTAAAGCCTGAACTGGCTGCGGGGGGACCATCTGACCATCACCTCCCAGATCTCAGATCGGCCAGGGCTCTGATGGGCGCAGGTGTCTTGGAGGGAGACCTCAAGCATGTCGGATTTGGAATCAGGAGAGGAATCCGTCTACAAGTCGAGCTTGATCAGCACGCTTGGCTTTCTGGCTCACAACACTTCTAGTGCCAAGAAAGGGGCTACGACGGACTGAGGCGGGGGCGGTGTTCTTGTAGGACATCGCGGGGTCAAAGAGCCTCTTGTGGCTGCAGCGACCTTGGAGATCCATCATCAAAAGCAGCTGAAGAACGAGCGCTGCTGCTCGTGAATTCGTAGATCGCGCTTAGTTGGCCACAGAGCAAGTCAAGGCCAGGTTTCACAGAACGAGATGAGGCAACTCGCTCGGCCAAGGTCCAAGTGGCCACTTGCTTGACGGGCAAGCCGACTGGAGGGCGTGGAGGGTGATTGCCTTGGCAGACGTGCTCGGGCCGCTTGGGTTGCATCTCACAGAGTTCCTGGCGCTCAGCAATAAAGACTGAAGGCGGGCCAAGCTTCGAGGCACGGAAGGCTGACGCGGACGAGCGACCTCCTCTGACGCACAGCGTCCGCTGAAAGCACCGGCAGCCCAGAAAAAGCTATCTACATCCATCGGGTGGCAGCCTGCACATGACATGACATGTCCAGGTCCTCGGGCATCCGCACCCCTGCGACAGCAGCCGCAAGGTCAAAGAACCTGTTGCCAGTCGTTGTCAACTGTCAGATTCTATGGACTTCTACGTGGTGCTGTGAATCCGGCCGCTAAACAAGGGAAATCATGGCACAGTTCACGAGCCTGGAAGTAGTCGGCTTCCGCTTGCCGCCGACCGCCGCCGCGCCCGAGCCCGCAGGGAGATGTCGCATGGTTGTGGAGCAGTCGCCGGATCCCCTACAGAGGATCCTGATTCCTCACTCGGACTCTAATGATACTCTGAAATTCCAAAGCACTTGAAGGCCCTGAGTTTCACTTCTATGCCAGGAACTGCCGAATTTAACTTGGGGCCTTGGTCATACGCCAAGTCCTGCTAGCTGAGTGAAACAGCATCTGGGAGTTCCGCGAAGAAATCGAGCTGATGCGAGCTGGAAACCGCATGTCAGGATGATGTCCCTGACCCTTGCCCCGTCTGTCCACATCAGCAGAGCCTTGGCTCGAACTCGGCACTGTAGGAGTTCCTTCAGCAAGGGATGCATGTAGCAGAGATGAAACGAGTCCTGGACATGTCACAAGGCCTAAGGCGACACCGCCCTGAGCCCTTGCACTCGCATTACAGTGGCGCAACAAGGCCCTACGATTCATGAAATGCACCAACTCCGGCAATGCCATGACTGGACTTTGCCCCCACACGCATGAAAGCCCTGTGCTTGGGGCTGGGCTGGCCGCGGATCTCGCACAGGGATCAACAAATCAGCACATTTCAGAACTCACTTCGCCCACATGGCAGGACATCGCTGAACGCTGTGCCCAGCCTTGGCCTGGCCAAGCCCAAGCCTCCCGTGCCCGCCGTGTCCCCACGTGAAGACCTCGCGAGCTCAGCGCTCCGAGGCTGCAGGCCGCGGCAACGGTGCTTGGCTCCGAGTTCCTGGCACTGCCGGTGGTGGTCAGTGCCACGGAATGCTTGGTCCCCGCAGCCACCTGACCAGAATGCAGCCAGAAATCCTTCGACGTTGATTTGTGGCCGGAGGCAATAGCTTGCAAACCGTCGGCTACCATGCTCCGCGAATCTTACAACCGCGCACAACCCTCACGGGCAGCACCTGGTACACTGACACCACTCGCCTGCCATTCAGAGTGACTGAGGCTAAATCTAGTACGTGGAATCGTCGGCCAGGTTGCAGAAACGCAGGAACTAGTTATTCTAGGAAAAATCAGGAAACATGAACACGAAAAAAAACTAGGAATGGAAAATCACCACTCAAAGAACAGGAAAAACATAGGACAAAACATGGGAAAAAAAAGGCTTCAGCAGCACAATCCATGCAATGCGGTTCGAACTACCATAGAAAGCACCAAATAAGCAGATTCGCTACACGTGTTGGGCTACATGTTCAACGCAAACACAACCAACCAAAAAGATTCAATCTTTAAACGGAAACCTGCACCACTTTCCGCTGAAAACACAACGGCATGACGGAACGTGCAGAAAGCACGGTGCGGTGGGCAGCGCCCCGTGCAGCACGGGGTGGGGGCCTGCGGCGGTTCCTGTTTAAATCCTCTAACTTTTTTCATATTTTTTCTCGAGGTGTTGATATTTCCTGAAAAGAAAGATAGGAAAAACTAGGACAAAAAACTAGGAAAACAGTTAGGAATTTCCGCCCCGCCGCCACCTCAGCACCCCCTCCCCCCCGCAACTCTTCGAACGCTTTGAGGGGGGTTGGTGGGGGGGCGGGGTGCCTTGCACGTGGGTCACTGAGCCGCATGGCACACCGCGGTGCATGCCTCCGTGCGGGAGTCATTGTGTCGCTGCGTACGTCTTTTCGACGTCATGCGTCGCTGAGTGTGTCGGCGCATGTAGCGACACGGATGTATGTAGGCCAACATAAGCGGCGTTTCCAAACATACTTACATGCTACTGCTATGGCGAAATCCGACCCTCCGAAAAGTCACATTTTGACTCTATTTAAGCCCTATTTACATCGTATTCCGAAATCTACCCTTACGAAAAGCCCTATCCGAAATCCTTTTCAACTAATTCCTATTTTTTTCGAAATTTCTTCATTCTGTGACACACTTGAGGCTGACCAAGAGCTTTTTACTAGCTGAGGCAGTGAAATGCAGACCGAAATGGCGGCACAAGCTCCTCTGCCCCAACCGCCCATTGCCTGGCCTCTGCGCCTCTGCGTCCTGCACAAGAAGGCATAGCGCGGCGCTGTGTGGATCGACATACCAGTGCAGTGCCGAAGCCCTCCCTGTACAAGTGGCGACGAAGTGCGGAAGGGAGAAATCCAGCGAGAGAGAGGAGAGAGAGGCAGTGAAAGAGTCTAGAGAAAGAGTGCAAGTCTAGAAAGAGGGCCGAGAGACAAAGAGAGAGCGAGCAAGAATCTTACCGACGGTAAGACCGGCAAAGCTCCCGAGCCCGTAAATGACGGACACTGGCCTCTTCGGGAAACCACACTTCGGTGGGAGTGAAACCTCAGCTTGGACGAACCTCAAATGGACCTTGGCCTTGGCTACGGCTACGGTGGCTACGGCAGAGCACCGAGGCTCGAATCCAGCACACACCCAAGAGGAGAAGTAACACACCTTACAACACCTTCACCCCGAACACACGCTCATTTCGGGAAGCAACAATCGGCCCAGGATCCGATCCCCAAGGCGCCGTAGCTTCCTTGGCCAGCTCCGGGCTTTGCGTTAGCTTTCGCGCATGTTTTCGATCTCCTTCTAAGTCGAAGATGGAGGACGCCTGAGTTAGAGCTCTCTTCTTGCTTTTTTCCTGCCACGGAAGTCGGCGAAGCGCGCCGCAAGCTCTGCATTGCCCAGGGCTCGGAGACGAGCCTTTCGCTGCTTGGCTGCTTGTGCTTAGCCTAGGCCTAGGGCCTATAGGGCCTATAGCCTACAGGACAGGTAACGAACCTGCCGACACACGGAGCCAACACTCACTACGCCACCCTGGAAAAACACACCCTCTAAGAGAAGGACGGGAAGCTAGAGTTGACACTGGCTGCACAGCACAGGGATTCCCAGTGCTGGCGTGTCGAAGACACAAAGCAAAACTGTCAAAGTTTCCGTCGCATCTCGCGAAACCCCAAACCTGCTTCTGCCACCCTGCACCTGCGTTCAGCCCGGCTCTGCAAGGTGAAGTTGCTAAATCCGGCGGACGACCGGCTCATGCCATGCAGTATATGTTAAAGGGCATCAAGACTTACCTAGATACTTTTGCCAGCTGTAAGAGCATCTTCCGAGTAGACCTGTGGGCTGTCCACGTTTCATGAACATGCTGCACCTCAAAGCCGTTCAAACAAGGCCTCGCCGTAGCCAGGGCACCTTGTTGCGAAGGAGAAGTCCGAATGCTCCAGGATCTGAGTCCTCAGAAGCTTGAACGTCACAACAGCGGGCACAAGGCTTTTCAAGGAGGGTCTGAAAACAAGCGCGGTCTTGGGTCTGTGGGCTTGTGCAAGGCCTCGAGAATAAGCTATCTTCTGCTGACATTCCACAACAAACGCCTTTAAGCATCACCTCCCTCGAGTCCTTGTGCCTGGCTTTCCATTCGTCTCGGGCTCGTTCCAGGTCATCCTGCACGACGAAAGCAACCCATGCGGCGAAGGGCTGAAGCGGCACCCGATGCAAAGGAGAACAACATGGCAAGGGAAGGACAGTAGAAATGTTACAGGTGTGCTCACGTCGACACTGGGAACGAAACACAAGTCTGCTCCACGCCTGATTAGTCGGAGGGGTGCGCTGACAAAGCCAAGCAATTGTCGGTATACCAAGAGCTGGATCGGACTAGAGGCACAGCTGCTCCGCATCCTAGTCCCAGATGTTTTGAATATAATGGCACAGTGTGACAATGTAAGACACCATCCTCCTGTGTGAACGTGAAATCGACGATGATTTTCGACGAGCCGTTCAACTGCAAAAAAAAGGTGTCTGCATGAAATGCACTGCATGAAATAGCTATTGTGGATTTTGGAGAAACTACGTTGAATCAAAATCGGGGCGAATCGATAAGAGACCCAGCAAAGCGCCATGCCCAAAGTCCTTGCGAAGAAGCTGAAGAGTCGGCCACGGCGCCTCGGAGCCGAAAGGCCAGAGCACACCTGGTGAGCCTCACTTGGTCGCAGCGGAAAATGCCATCAGCTTAACACCGAGTCGCACGTGTGCTGTAGTGACCTGGGTCCAGCCAAGAGCCAGCATGCAGGTTGAAACGGTGCAACGACTTTACTACAACTTCGGCAATACGTTAGGACCTTCTCTAATCCAGCCCTTAGGACGGGCCACCTGCATCCAGCGGACTTGCACGGCACCCGGGCCCCTGGTCCTCAGCTGCCAGCGTGACGGGGCGACAAAGAACAAAGCCCCTCGTTGCCTCGCGAAGCGGATGGAAGGCCAGCAGCTCCAAGTCATCCTCTGCGCACGCACCCGCCACGTCCCCCGCAGTCTCCCGCAGTCTCCCGCAGTGGCAGTGACGCTGCAGCTGCTGCTGCTGCACAAGTCCTTCGAGGCGACCGCTGCGCACCTTCGTCCAAATATTACAACATGTTTCAATTCTTACTGTGAGAGATGCACACAGAACACATCTCGTATGCACATGCTTCGCAATGAACCCGTGACCATGAGCCTGCTGTCTACAACCATGAACTATTCGCCAGGGTGTCTTCCTCTTTGATTCGAGGTCTGTCTGCGCTTTCATGGCTCCCTTGCTTGACGCAAGAACACCCAGCTGGTCTTGATGGCAAGTTCCGCCAATGCGTCAAGCCTCTTCTGAATGAAGGCGAACACACAAACAAGTTTGAGCTTGAGTATACCGACTTGACATCTGTCATGACCCGCAACTTGCCGGTGGAGAAAGTAATTCAGGTACACTTCGAGACATGTTCTTTCCGTTCCCGTGTTCTTCCAATGTGCTAAAGTCTTCCATGGGCGCTGGGGTCCTGTCGTCCAAATCTTGCCTGGGCGTAACCCCACGTTCGCTGCGTGTTGGATTGTACTGTTCGGACATTCAACAGCACGGTCTCAATTGTTGATTCCAGCCAACAGCTCGTGTAAGAAAAGCTTACAGAAGCTCTGAGCCAGGTGCTCTCGCCAAAGCCTTCCGAAGTGCTTCAGCCCAGACCTTCCCGAGAAGCCCTGCACAGGGAACACCAGAGCTGGCGTGACATCCTGGACTCAGCGCTCTTTCGATCCTCATCGGAGAAGACAGTGAGCGTGGTGGGCGCAGCTGTCGCGTTGTCGCTTGCCATCCAGGCCCGCAGCTTGTGCCCTGAACTTCAGGCACCGCAGGCCACACGTCCTAAGGCCCTATACAACTTGATCGGTTTTGCCAAGTCGCCGAGAACGTCGTCCATGCAGAGCTCCCAGGATTTGGGACCATGCAAGCAGTGTCGGATTTGTGCCTACGAAGCTCTTAAGCTCCAGAGAAGAACATCGCCGTGGCCCTGCCTTGGCCCTGCCTTGGCCCCGAGTGCCCACGGGCAGAGCCCTTCGCCGGCCACGAACTCCCGCAGCCAAGCCTGGGTGCTCACAATCACCTCGGAGAGCCATCTCTCTTGTCTCCTCTGGGACGGCGAGGCTGCCTGCAAGAAAAAACCTTCTTGCTTGCTCTGTGGCTCCGTCTCTGCACGCGGAACCGCTGGGCACGGCGCGACAAGGAACTCCGTGCCCAGCCAGAGACCTCCCGGCTCGAGTCGCAACATGGAGCGTGCCAGCATGCATTGGCAATGGGCGTCCATAAAAACCCGCAGCTGCCCACTTTCCACCTTGCCTTTGTTGGCAAGCTGCAGGCACTGCTGGCGCCAGGCTGCTGAGTGCACTTAGGAAGGCTCGCGACAAACGTTCTGCCTCAGCCATTCACGGCATCGCAGGTGTACGACTGAGATTGGCTGTGTCTCCACACCTTATGCCAAAAGGAAAAGAAAGGGCCACTCGCAGCAACCTCTATCGAGGAGCTTCCTTCCGGCTGCAGGCTGCAAGAATTCCAATCATCAGCCTGTGCTTGGTGACTTTCCCTTCTCTTGCGGCGACACCCCAGCCAGGGCAGCGCATGAAGACATGCAAAATGATCAAAAATGTATAAAACGTCCGCCGTGGCGCAGGGGCGTCGGTCGGGCTCTTCGTCTGCCCATGGCTGCGGGGGGGGGGGGGCCCAACAAGCCAAGGCTCGGCTCGGGCCCTCTTTTGGCTTCGCTTTCCCATTGGGTTTTTGCCAGGGCTTCAGCGAAGTGCCGTTTCGGATGTTGGGGCGACGGGGCGCAGCTCAAGCCAAGCAGGCCCAAAGAGCACGGCAGGAGATCAAGACATGGAAGACGTGGAACACGAAATGCTTCCGAACCACCGGATTGGCTGCGCATGGTCATGCACCCGAGGCGAGATCCCAAACCCCAAGCAAAGAGGCGGCCGGGCTCCATGAGGGCCGCACCTGGGCAAAGCAAAAGGAAACTAACTCAGATTGGCATGAGGGAGCCTCACTAGCTTACCATGTGCCCAGAAGTCAAGCTCGCAACTGTTCAGCAAGTATGCAACAGGTGGGCTTGCACAGCCCCCGACAGAACCCGAACTTGTTTCTGTCCGAACTCCAAATCAGCAGCTCTGTGTCCTTTTCTTGCGGCTTCTCATTCTTTATTCTGCCGGCTCTTCCGGCAATGCTCGAAAGCCGAGAGGACCTCTTCGTGGCAGACTGCGACCGCCTTGACCTGGGCTAGCAGCAAACCATGGCAAACCCCACACAGCTTCAGGCTTTCAGGTGCTCTCGCTCAAAACGAGAGTGAGTTCGACACAACGCAAGGCCACTAAGGGAGAAGCTGGTTGCATTAGAGTTAGAGCTGTAAGATCCGTCCTGGACGTGATGCCTGCAGTCAAGGTACGTGGTTTGTCTTTTCCCGGAAATCACGTGTGCAGCGCGAAACAGCTTCCTTCAGAATCCCATGGGCCTCCCACGACGACGAGGTCTACACTGCTGGCACTATGAGTCGAGGGCTTAGACTGGTCCGCAACCAGACGCTCGGTTCACTTGACGTCACATCTGGGTGCCTGCATCAAGTTTTCGTTCTCGACCTCGTTCATCCTAAGAGCGCGGAGTGAATAGCGAGCGGGATCTGCACCCAAGCACAAGTTCGTTTGTCGAATCATGTTGCGGGTGCATGCAGGCATCCTGCGAAGCAGGCTTCCGTTGCATCCACAAGAATCAGTCGGAAGCCCAGCGAATTCAGAGAGGGCTCCAGTAGTCATAGCACTTGTAGCGCAGCTGTTTCCAGTAGTCTGCCATGTGGCTCTGTTGCTCTGGTGACAAGCGTGTTTTCCAGGTGTCGTTCTCCTTGGTGTGCAATCGTCCTAGACAAACCTTCTGATGAGCGAGCGAATCCGATGAAAGTGTTGAAGCCCTGCTCGGTACATCCCGAAGCCCCACCCCGCAGATGCAATGTTCGCCTCGCGGCCACCCGAATGGCAGCCCGATGGCCACGCTCTTCAAGGAGCGCCTCGTTACGCTGATAGGTGCCCGTCCTAGGTCTCACGCAACGCTCCGCTGACGCGGTGTCGCGTTCAAACATGACTTTACTAAGCCTAGTGTCTGACCAGGGAACATCTGCTCTGGGAGCCGGCTATGGCTCGAAAACTCAGGGAGAACAGTCCACTCTGCTTGGCCCGTCTTGGCCCCTGGGCTTGCTTGGCCTGCCTATGTCGAACGGCCAGCGGCCAGCGCGTCTAAGACACTATGACGCTTCTCTCTAACCTTTAAACTTCAATCTCTGCCGGATCTGCGGTGCCGAGCCATTTCGAAGACACACACACAGACAGACAGACAGACAGACAGACGGACGGACGGACGGACGGACGGACGGACGGACGGACGGACGGACGGACGGACGGCACTCAAAACGCGGACGGACAAACAACAACTTGACCTCAACATCCTGCCCAAACGCCCCTTTAGCACCTGGCAAGTTTTTTTTCTGCGAAGCATGCTCACAAGTCTATAAATATACCCAGACGTGGAGACGCAGAAGGTACAACAGAGCCAATCAGAATGCGTGTATCTAGGGTTCCGAATCTGCTATTGGCCCACTCTTCTTTGCATCTTTCTGGGGCAGCCGACGGCCGCTAAACTGTACAAGGACGACTTGGGAGCTCATGGATGGATATGGAGGTGCGGCGGTTGCCAGGGATTTTTCTGGCTGGCCGCCTGCGGACTGCGTCTTGCACGCTTTCACTGCCACGCATTGCCACGGCTTGTTTCAAGGACACACTCCTTTCTGCAGTCGCCAGGGCCTACTCGAAGGGGAGCAGCTCAATCCTCGCAGGCGCCCGGCGAGTGGCATCCCACTCGCTCCGACATGAAGCGTGAAGAGCCTGCGGCGAAAACAAGTCTCCTCATCGTCGCTGAAATCTGCGAGGGTGTTGAAGATCTTGGCCCCGACGGCACTCCTGTCATTTTAGCCGCTGGCTTGTCCTACGCACTGACACAGACACAAACACACAGACACACACACACACAAACACACAGAGAGCACACAAACACAGAGAGAGAGAGACCCTGCTAAATCGAAAAACTCACGCTGCCACATGTGACCCAACTTCTGCACCACAATTCACACTTGCATGCATCGCTCCAAGCATGGGTGTTGATTGGCACGTTCTTCATGACCTGACAGTAGACGCAATGCCTTTTCATCCATCCGAAACTCGAACCTACTTTTGAGAGCAAACGCCTTTCGACATGCACAGTCATGCACACGCCCAGCTTGGAGCAGGGCGTCGAAGTCATCATCACTATCGTCGTCGGCGAGGCGCTCAAAGATCTGTCACGGCGTCCATGGCCAATAATCAGAACCCAAATCTGACGAAAGGAAGTGCTGAAGACTGGCATCTGCTTCGGGTGGAAGCAGCGACAACTCTGCACAGCCGGTGCCTTCCGACCCACAATGCTCCACGACTGAACATCGATCTCCTGACGGGAGTCTGAAGCCAGGCTAGGGCGGCCCTGGGGGCTTTGAAAGGAGCTGCCTCCTTCTCGACATCACTGCCGCTGGAGTCCACGGTGCTGGTCTCATCTGCATCAACCTCCGAGACGCGATGCATTCCTCAAACAGAGTCGGAGAGTCCGTTTGTTCCTTGGCTTGCCATATCCGTTGTGCCAAGAACGGCAGCATGCAGCAACAAAGAGCACTGCTCCTGCGCAGCTGTACAGCAGCTGCGTTACCGGAGCACTCATCGGCCAGTCTCTACATGGGCCGTGGTGCTGAAGGCAATCATCAGCTGTCTTAAATTCGAAGAAGCGCAGTCACCCGTAGCTCCTAGACATTCCTAGGCAAGATCAGAAACAGCCCCCTTGTGGGGTTACTGGTCTGCCTCAGGCGGCAGACACCCAGTCACGTATAGGTGAGAACGTTCTGTTTCGTTTGCAAGCACTTGTGGGCAGCTCCTCTTCCACTTCAATAAAAGTGTTCCGCACTACCGCCTTCAGTCTGGCATCCGAAGAGAAGCACAGCCGATCCGACGCGGAATTCTGCTCAGCGCAGAACCGGGGCTCCCGGATTTCATGTACACCAGGTGCCGCAACACCGCCGCGGGCATGTCGGTATGCAGCCTTCTGCAGTCGGTAGGCGTGGTGGAAATTGTCTCGCACTCGATCCCAGTCTTCACGCGACATGGCGCACTGGTAGGGCAGAAGCTCCTGCCCGTCCATGGACTGATACAAGGTCGCCTGCTCGCCGATTCTCTCTAAGAACAAAGTGAGGTACTCCGAGAGCAGAAAGCTGCTGCTACCGACCATTCCTGAGCTGCTTAGCTGGCTTCGAAGGTACCCTTGGCTCACAACCTACGACAGCTTCGAAAGCTCAAGGGGCAAGCAAGTCACGAGTTGCTAGATTGTATCTTTCTGAACAGACATCATGCGAGAGCGAACTCCCTGGAGGATGGACCAGGGTTTGCCGTCATTTATCAAGCAAGCCTCAGGCACCCGCCCCTCCCCGCAGCACCCGCTTTCCCAGCGACTGTCGCAGCAGATGGGAACAACAGGTTTTACCATGGCATGTCCACCCCAGCCACAAAATCTCCTCGCTGCTTCTTCCCCGCACCCTTTCACCCCACCCCTTTTGGTGTCACCTCCTCGCCATCACCAGCAGACATCACCAGCAGACAGTACTTCGCAATGCCCCAGGGCGTCTACCAGGACCGCTTCTGCCAGCTGAGTTCCGTCAGAATCCACAGAGCCGTCGATGTATAGCGGGGTTGCCATTGAACTGTTGGGTCAAGGCTACAGATTGGTCGCGTCGCAAACAGATCGATGGATGTCAGGCCCAAAGGATGCCGTGCAAGTAGTTTTGTAACTGGGCTACCACAGTCATTGGCTGAGACATGTGACTGAGGGAAACAAACTTCTTTCGCAAGATTCAAGTCCATATCAGAAGTGCATTTTGCAATGCGTGGTTCAATCAGATTCGCGAATTGGAGTTGGAACTTGATCAACTGGCTAAACCACGGACAGCGACATGCTTTCCACGATGATGGCTTTCTTGGCCAAGGTGCGCGGATGATAGCGGACCCAACATGCGAGCCCATGCCTCTTGCCTGCATCAATTCTCGTCACGTCCTGTCACGATACAAACTCGAAATCAAGGCAGCATGCTGGCGGCACAGAAGTATGCAACCGCTGTATCTCCTCCTGCGCCAGCTCGTCCGCCACCGCCGGAACCAGGGGTCGGCCCCGTCGCCAGCTTTGGATGGTGAGGACGACATAGCACTGCATGTCCCGTGTGCGCATCCTGGGAAAAAGCGTGAAGACTCTGATCTCTCTGAAGCGGACTACAGACACGGCAGTCCAAAGCTCCAGGCCGCCCTCGAAAGCAGAAATCGAGAACTGCAAGAGCGGTCTACAGGCTCCATCGAGTGCACGAGCTAGGTGAGAGAAGTAAGGCAGGTGAGGAGATGGTGCTCCTTCCAGGCTTGCCTGAAATCATGCTCGAGGGATCGAAACTACAATTTTCTGCACCAAACACGTGCACGCCCGCTGGCTGTTCGCAAGCAAACGAAATGGTTACTGCAGTTCGACGGACATGACCCTCGAGCGTCTAAAGACCACCCGTCCGACCATGCCAAGCAACTCAACAATGCCAGGACGGTTCACGAACCACTCCGCGAGACGCCTTCAGGGCTCCGGGCGGGGCAGGTTGCTGTTAGCCTGATCGTTTGGTTCCCTCTTGACGAGCCACGGGCAGCACTCTTCGACCACTTCCTGACTTCATGGTCCGACTATAGTTCTGCCAGGGCCTAGATAAGGCGCCCACGGCCCGCACAATCACATTTTTTCATGACACTATGATATACTATAGTATACTACTAGTATACTGGATTCTGGATTCTCCAGGGAAGCAGGTTGAAGCAGTGTTTGTGGACCGGAGTCCCAACGACGGCACGCGAATCCACTGCAACTTGCAATGGGTTCACCTCCGACTAGGCATCAGGAGGAGGCAAAGGGCCGGGTGAGCCTTTGTCTCGGACTCGTCCCAAATCACAGCTTAACCAATCACACTTGTGGCAGGAATTGCATGGCTGTGCACTCCGACTTCGTTCATGCCCACATCCAAGCACGATACAGGAAAGCCGCAAGGCCGGCCACTTCTCTGAGGCATGTATGTTGGGTTTGAGATCATCGAAAAAGGTGGCAAACTCAGATTTCTGCGCGGTGGACTCAAATGTACGGCAAACTCCCACTGCAGTCGCCCCACTACGAATGAGGCGCCATATCTGTCAGAAGCATTGTTAGCAGCAGTCCAAGCCAGGGTCACCTGGAAGATCAAAGCTTGCCCCCTGTAAATGACAGAAGGATTTTCTGATTGGGCCTCATACACTCACGTACGCCAGATGCGTACAGGTAGCAACAACGGCTGTCGTCAGCATCTTTGCCCATTGAAAGCGCTCATTTGCAGCAGATGCATGATCATTCCATCTCACCCAGCTGCATCCACCCCCTTTATTATCGCCAACCCAGAATGAAAAAGCGAGAGCTGATGGTGCCTAGTCAGTGGTTCTCTTGCAGTGGCTGTACTCAAAGGCAAAGTCTGTTGGTGCTCATCGTAAATCTATCGTGGTTGCGAGGGTTAGCTCCAAGAACTACAGTATATGGCGAGCGTTGTCATTGCTTTGGTCCATACCTGCACTTTATGCACTCAGGAATGCAATCCCATGCACCACCCAGGTTGGCAGTGGTGCTGGCTTGGCCTCGTTTGGCCCTGCAGTTCACGAAGCAGGCAACTGTCTCACAGGTGACAAATAAGCTCTTCGACGTCGACAGGCTGTTTTCGGGTCAAGGACGCCCTCTGTGTCTTAGGCAGTGTAGCTTTAGGCCTGGGGTTTGGGTCTCGAGCATATGTCAAAACAGGAATCCCAACACTACCGGCCCAAGCCTCAAAGACCCAAAGCCCAAGCCTAAACCGTCCACACTGGACCAGGAGAGATGAAGGGACTGGAGGGGAAGGAAAATGACAGGAGAGGGAAAGGGAGGGGAAGGTAGAGCAGGGGAATCGAAAGAGCAGCCTTCCGAATTGATCAGGGAATAAGGTGGGGTGGGGCTCCTGTAGCATGGACCCAGGTGGCACGTGCAGCTTAAACCCAAACCCGTTCTGCCTTCCTGACTCACATAACACGGCAAAGTGCGCGGAGACCCACTCGGCAAAGATGTTCCTGGGCACCTGCTTCGCGCTGTTTTCTGCAAGATCCAACACTAAAGCCAAAGCGTTAAGGGATCATGCCAATGTCGCGCCTGCAACACGAAGTCCACCACAAAGCTGCCAGGCTCTTGTGGCCGCCCCAGCAGCAAAGCCTCGAAAACCCCAGAGAGACTCTGCATTGCCAAGGCCTCAGAATTGAAGACAAAGGGGGAATGCTGCAATCAATGCAAAAGCAGCAATTCATGCGCAAGCCGTACAGTAGGAGCCGTCACACACAAAAGGGGTGGAAATTTTTCCAGAGGCCAAGAGAAACTAGCCTGCGTGTTTCCATGCTTTGCGATGCCCTATTACGCATCTGTGCTTCGGTTGGCTCCTCATCTCTGTCGTACTGAGTCGCCGATAGACCACCCCCACCCGACCAAAGCTCGCCCATTCAGAAACGGACCAGTACTGTACCCAGCCGGCGGGCGCTGTCGCCACGCTGCGGATAGTTCCTGCGAACGACCTGACGAAGCTTGCCCGGCATCACCGGGTGGTAGAAGTGTTGGAGGAGGCTCTCTCCACCTCAGGCCGACGAATCCAATATTATGCATGTTACATCCCGGTTCTTGGCCTCAGGGAACTGTTTTAATGGAAACAGGGATGCGTTGCAAAGCTTAGCACCGAGGAGCCCAGCGTGCCGAAGAAGAGAACACAAAGTCGGAAGAACCTTGGCAGAGCAAAACCCAACAGTGACGGCAACAGCACATCTTGTGATTCTCGACATTTCGTTGCCTGCGAGGAGGCCCACAACCGGCTTCAACCGCACGCCAGGAGACTTCCATGATGCCCATCGCTCCACTGTCGCATCGCCTGGTGCAAGCTGGTCCAGCACCTTGCCATTGCAAACACAATCCAAATCTCAAGGAGTGGGTTCTTTGCGAGCCTTGAACGTCTCATCCTTCTTCAGCTCCGGAAAGGTGCCTTAAGGAGGTGGGAGCATCCAGAGCATACTAACCGAATCCCAGACATCCAACCCAAGGCACGCAATGCCCATGCGCGAACCTCCGGTCGCACGAACAGGTGCGAGGTGTCGGCGGGTGGGTCGTGGACTTCGATGCCCTTCATTGAGAACCTGTGGGCGATGGACCCCATATGAGACACTGCACATTTGGATTCATGTGGCCTGACGAGATGCCCGCCCCATGGGCTGCTTCGGTGCAGAATTGTTGTGCTGCGGTTTTGCCTTCCGAAGAAAGCGGAAGCAATAAAGAGGAAGATAAAGGCAAAGCACGGCACGAGCAACGGCCAGCAAACAAAGCGCCTGCCAGTCGGCCACATGCCAGCAATCTGCCAAGCCTCATCCTCAAGCAACGTTGGAACGAAGTGAAACCAGTCCTGGCTAGGTGCAGTGGCGTGGCAGCGACTCGGACACAGGCCATGCAAAGGCTATCGTCATTTGCATATTATTCAGAAAGTGTTTCGACGAGAACAGCTCACACTTCCAGAACGGCTCGGAAGCCGTTCCTCCCTGCTGCAACCTGAAAGCTCCCGCAGAATCTCCGGGCACGGTCTCCTCGACACTATCCGGACGGACCATCGTCTTAATTTGCTATGTCATCCCCGGGGGCGCACTTGAGCCATCGGCGAGCGGGTCATGACGGAAAGCTTTGGAGCCTGTTGAAGGAGCTTCTGAACAGCAGAGAGAGCCGGGGCCTTGAAGTCACCGGGCACGCCACGGCTAATCCTTGATCGCGGCGGGGCGCGTCTCGACAAGCCCTAAAGTCCGTGCCAGTTCGGGTGCCCGGCATCTCAAACACCAGCGTTGGTGTTTCCACGGTACACGGGGCATCCGCCACCGCAAGCACCGATGATCCTCTCTACATTGGGGATGGCAAGCAAGTCGTGAAGATTATTTAGTCGGTGGAAAGTTTTTGGCAGCAGAGCCCATGTCCTGGAATAGGGTTGGACCTGAAAACTCAGCGATCTGATGTGACTTTAAAAATTCAGCATCCCGAAGCTCATGCCGCTACAATTCCGGACTCTCGCAAGCGAATACGCAGGTCTACGTGCTGCAAAGCCACATGGAGAGATATTGCTCTCCTGAGTCCATATGTTTAGAGACAGTGACACAGCATCGCATCCGAAGGACATGACCAAGAGAGTACATCGAACACACAATGTTGGGCACTGCCTGGATGACCAAGGCTCGGCTGCAGAAGCAGAAGTTGGAAGCTTCCTTGTGCTATCGGCTTCAACTTGAGCCAAACACCACAACATGATCGGAGATCATGACCGGTGTCTCAAGTTCCAAGAGACACAGACCTCGATGCCACGAAAAATCCCAGGGAGGTCCCAATACTCAAAACTCGTTACTTGACAGCCGTAGACGCCGCACTTTACTGCCATCGCAACTTGAAGCCTACCTCGAGCCTTTCACACGACGAGCCCCTGTCCAGCTCCATGCACATCCTGGGGCTGGCACTCCATACCGTGACCTGTGGTCAGTCATGTTCTGTGCAATATCCGCAGTAGGCTCGTGGCACGTTCTCCGAGGTGAGTGCAATGGCTGTCCCACCCTACAAATCATTCTAAGTTTCTGGGCTTCTTTCTCAGCACCCAGCAATAGCAAACGTGTGGTCCGCACCACAGGCTATCCTCTGCCTTGTGGCATCAAGCCATGAATGTCCCGATAATGTCCCGGCATCGCAAATTCATTCTCAGGGCTTTTGTCTGAGTCAGGCGCACGACCACACGAAATCCTTGATGAACGGGGAATTTCACCTATGCAAGGGCAGAAAAGCAAAGGCGCAAAGGGAGAAAGCATACCGTGTCGAAAGTGACACGGAAAGCTGAAAATGCCGTTTCTCTCCAACTGCTTGTCCATCGAAGGAACTTCTCGGGCACTTCTCTTGAGCACACCCGGTATAAGTGCAGGTGGAGGAACCTCGCGGACGTAAAAAGCCGTGCTTGAGGACCCATGAACCGATTCATGGCTAGGTAGGACAGGCATTTCAGAAGAGTTGCCTTGGCACTGGAACACCTGGAACGACAACTAAGAAACTAAGTATTCAAAGCACAGCACAAGTAGGCTGCAGTTGCCGTCAGTGCATAGGGAGCACGGAAGCATCGACCAACTGTAGCTTGAACTCGCACATCCGCTAGTTCGGAGTTGCGACATTTCGGCAGTGCAGGACCACACTCTCGGACCTCAAGCCCAGAGTGCACATGCCTTTATGGCACTGGCTCTCAAAATTGTGGGATGTCAAAGAGTCAAAGGACAGAGAGATATCGGAACTTGAGGGCGAAGTGTTGAGTGCTATTGGGAGATTCACCCAGTGTTCTGCATTCCTGCAGCAATACCCTGGATACTCACAATCATGGCATCAGCAAGCTCCTCGGAGGTCTGCTCGCCGGCTTTGCGCAAGCCTGAGCAAAAGCGCTCCGACAGCCCCGAGCAAGGCACCGTTCAGCGTGCCAGTAACATCCAATAACAACCTAGGGAGGTCATGGGAGGATCACGAAATCATTCCCGGTGCATTAGAGACCTGCAACATGTCATAACGTGTCCAGGCTGCGCTGAAGCACCTCAGCTTGAATCACGTGAGTTGCATCCAGATATGGCCTGAAGTCAACGATGGCATTCCGGCACTTGCAAGTCCCTAGTTCTCGTCGCAACGACTGACACTTCGTCTGGCCTCCGCATTCCTATGGCCAACTTCGTGCTCGGCTCCGCGGACAAAACCTCCTTCTCCTGCTTGACCTGCAAGCTCAATGCCGTCGAAGCCCCGTCCGAGCGCCACCAAAACTGCACGAGCACCCACCTGAAGGACGGAAGTGGTGGCCTGAGCCAATCGTTGGCGGAGATCCTGGGCAAGAGTATTAAGATCAGAAGCTTCTTCGGTTCGGGGACGTATGCAGTGACAGCCTGACCCAAGGGCTTCAGTGCGTCGTCGCAAATCTTCGAGTCGTAGTGAGCTGCCTCGACGAAAGGCTGAGGGGTCTCTGAGAGTTTCCCAACCAAAGAAGTGACACGAGAAGGAGAACACCACCTGCAGTCTTTCGTTCAAAGCCTCGCCACAATGTGTTCATCGGCCTTGCCTAGCTCAATGTCGATAAGGTCAAGCATGGACTTGAAGAATGGCCACTTCGAATACATCGACTGGAGGAGCCTCTGAAACGACAACAGAGAGTGTCTAACACACTCTTGTGCAGGCTCAAGCTTCCAATGCTTTCCAAGCACTGCAGCGCAGGTCACTGGATGTAGCTGCGAAGCTAAATCAAAGCTGTGCTGCTGTAGCTTGCCATCTGTGATGAACTTGTCCAAGGCAGCACCGTTGCCTCAGACAGGAGGCTTATCAATTGGCTTCACTTTCCTAATGACTGCATGTTCCAGTGCAAATCAGAACAAGCCGCCTAACCACACCGGCAGCAGAAGTCGCGTCTGTGTCCATGCGAAGATCCAGGGAATTGCCCTCGAAGCATTGGACGTTTCGTCTGATGTGAAGTTTCAAGAGCTTTTTGAAGCACCCGTGCCCAGACTGCAGAGATCACTAAGCTTACCAGACGGCCGAGGGGGACGACCCGAAGCGTTTACAATTATGCTAGTGCGAGCAGCTCAAGCCCCACAACCAAGAACCTTTCCAACCCCGAGCAACCCCGAGGTACAGATAATAATGCGGGACTGTGGATCCATGATGCGCACAGCGCGTCGGCAGGAGCAAGATCAAGGCCGTGAGCTGGGATTTACAGTGAATCGGGATGCCGCCGCAGCGCGACTCAAAAAGAACGCGAGCGTAGAGTCTAGGCGACAATATCTACCGCCACTGGGAGCACAAGACACCTCGAATTTGCCAAACCACCTCAGTGTGTCAATTCCTCCGTAGTTGCGTCGCTTGGCTGGCCTTGAGCCAATATTCATCCTCAGATGCTTACAGGGACGTGATATTTGGGAGACATGGCAAACACAAGCCGAGATGCCAAGACATGCACCGGAAAAGATTTGGGATCCTTTTTGAGCCGGAGGCTGCGTCTGCCAAGCTTCTGTGCCAGCTCTGCCGAAGGGGTGGCAGCATGGAAGTACCTCAGATGGCCACATTGCTTACGTGGCCGAAGGCTCGCGTTTCACAGTCTCCAGCAGTTTTGCTTTCGGGTCTGATGAATTGCCAAGCAGCTTCACAAATTGATCTTCCTGCGAGCGAAAAACGGTTGTCTGGTAATCCTGCGGGACAGCACGGCAAAGACCAAGACGGTGAAACGGCACAAGTCTGGCAGAAAGCCCGGGCCCCCTGGCAAACGACATCAAAGCAAACGCATCAAGCCAACTGAGGAAAAATCAAAGTTTTCGACCCCGAGATTTTGCATTACCAAATCCGGGCGATGGAAGGCACCGAAGACCGCTCAGGCACGAAAACTGCCATGACACGCGAGGGCTGCAGGACTGCAGCTGGACGATGAGACACCGAAAGCTCTCCTGGACACACAGCAGTCAGGACACCGAGACACAATTAGCTGCAATAAAACCACAACGGGACATCAGATGGTAGAGACGCGAGAGCAGGAAGGACAACACAACAGCGAGACACCGGAAAACATGAAACCCTTGGACACCAAGACACAGAAGTACCTGAGATGTTTATTACATGGAGTCATGGAGGGCGGTTCCTCACGTTTCCGCGTGGCCCCGCCCTTGTGGGGAGGAAGTGCAGCCCACCAAGCCGACAGCAATGATTTGCCTCGCCCTGGGCGATGTCGAATGCCGCAGGATGCGCTCTGAGAGCGGGTCGCATTTTGCAAGGCATCCCACTAGACAACGTCGCCAGTTTTGGCTGTAGCATCCACACCACTGCACGAGCAATTGTCGTCAAGTGTTTAGTGCGTGGAGTGCTAAGCATGCTTTCGGAAGATGTGTTGCTTGGGGCTCTTTTGGTGAAGACAGCCCAGAGGTCATTCATCACCTGGGTCACTCCTGGAAGCCGAGTCTTTGCACTGTGCGAGAAGTGAATTTAGGCAAGCTGGGAAGCCGCTCGACTCCGGAAAACAAAGCAGGTGAAAATCCGCAAAATTGGTTCGGCGGGGGAAAATCCAAGAAGTGGGTCGGCAGTCAGACTCGAGAAGATCCCACCAGCTTTCTCTGTGCAGCACCACAACCCGAAAGAGAAGCCGGCTTGAGTCACTGTGCGATCTCGGCCGTTTCCTCTTGGTTGGACGACAATGGGCTTTTGCTTGTGCTTACTGCAACTGCACAAGCAAAAGCCCATTGTCGTCGTTGCGCACAAATCCAAGTGTTGCCCACAGTTCCAAACTGCGTGGCAACGGCTCGACCAGGGCTTTTACCCGTGCAAGTTGAACCCGGACAACCAAGAGAGTTTGCATTCTGAAAACCGACCTGTGCATGTGAGCCAGGGGATTCCCATGTACGAGAGTTTGCTGGGTAGGAGCTATCAACCGCTAGCGATTGCAAGTAGCAGTGAGGACGACTAAGAGAAGGAAAAAGGGGGAGGGAGACAGAGAGAGAGAGAGAGAGAGAGAGAGAGAGAGAGAGACGGCGAGATCGAGATCGAGAAACAAGACAAGCAACAAGAATGAAGAGGGGGTGCTCTGCTGCGTCGCCGAGCATCAACTTCTAGAGAAGCTCGGAAGACGAGACGACGGGACACACCACAAAAGGAACGCCAGACGACCGGGACGCAGCACGACCAGGTGAACACCGGGACCCCCACTTCAGTAGATGTACGAAAGTCTTTTGGGAATTAGGCGTTTCGAAACTTTAGATACCATGAGGAAACCTGCACCTGTCGCAGTTTCACTGGCCAAGCCCTCCTTAGTCCTTGGCGGAAAGACCTGCCAGCTCTTCCATTGCAGCCCGGTGCTCCGGAGACGGCAGAGGCGGAGGTGTAAGAATATGTTCCAGCACGGCCACCTGGCCACTGAGCTCTTGGACAGAAACACTGGTTGCATGCAAGATGCTGCCCAAGCCACTGCATATCGCTCCATGGTGTGCTCTGCCACCTCTGGGTTCATGAAGTGCCTCAGCATGTCCACCGCGCGAGTGTGGACTTGGGTTTCTGCATTACTCCTGTGCATCAGATATGGTTCGGACAAGGTGCTGCTGAATCATCTCACCTTGCACTGTGAGACGTAAGTGGCGAGTGATGGACCCCGCCGGCTGGTTCAGAAGCCTCGCGTTTGGGTCGGTCGTACGTCCGCCGGTGCACTTCTGCTTCTTCCCGGACCACTCTCTCCCTCTTTCTGACTCTTTCTTTCGCCAAGGTTAGGGGCAAGAGGAGCAAGCTCCCCTCGCCCTGTCTCTCTCTCTCTCTCTCTCGCTTCTTCTTCTTCCTCAGGGCTTAGGGAGTGTCTGAAGCCCCCTGGCCGCTAGGGGCCCCCCGGTTTTTGGGGCTTACTGAAGGGACTGTGAAGAATACACACTCACCTAGGCTAACTCGATATGCCTAGCAAACTCTCGAGTAACCGACCCAAGTGGGTCCCCCGGTACGTTTTATGTTGCATCTTTGGGACACCGTTGAATTCGGGCACCTGTCCTCCTCTTGGTGAGACATCTTCTTCCCCAAACCATAGGGGGCGGGTCAAACCCCCTCGGCCAATTGGCCCCCCATTTCATGGGGCTTTCGGGAGGTGTGAAAAGGCAGCCAAATATCGGGTTATAAGCACTGTATACAAAGATTTCCTCACGACCCCCCCCCCCCGATACCTGGCACGGTACAATTACTTTGGGACACCATTGTTTTGAATTCAGTGTGTATACTACGGGGTTCATCGAATTCATAAAGATATCATTCCCCAGCATGCACACTGTCAGACGGAAGATGCAGGAAAGCAGCACTCCTCCAGCTCTCCCAAGTCAGAATCAATGAATGCATTGAGGTCAGAAAGGAAGAACAGATATTGAACAGGATTTGGGAGTAGAGCGTTGCAGCTTTCAGTTGCAGCAACGGGGATATGCCCCGGAAACATGAGGACCGGCTGCAAAGAAGCGACGACCAGCCATGACACAACAGCAAGAAGGTTTCCCCCAACTCAAAGTAAGAACTAACCCAGTCACTTGAGCAGTTATCCATCTGAATCCTGCGCCGGTTTGTGTAACAAGGACACAGCATTGCATGACCCACTGCCTATAAAGGACTACCATGTGTGAGACAAGGCCTCCGAGGTTGCAGGAGTCTCCCTCTGAACACTGTTTTGACAAAGGACACTCGCCCTAGCCTAACATCTGTGAAACGGCAATCACGTCTCGAGCACATGACAAGCCCCTAGTTTTGCGAATTCAAGAAGGTGAATTGCCCTAGTTGACAGGGAGTGTCTCATGTTTTTGTATGGGTGACATATGATCAAAGTGCACGCAGCGGCGTGCGGGCACTGAGGCAGCTAACTTTTTCCCTAAAGGGCGCCCTGGCGGTGAGCCGTATGCCATGCGAAGTCGCGGTGCATTTTCACCCGTCCTCGGCTCATTGTCAGGGCTTACAAAAACAAAACGTAGCGGACCTTCTAGACCGGCTCCTGCTATGACTTGCGAGCTTTCCGAGCGTGCCGACCTGCTTGGACCATCAGCTTCTTGTGGCGTGCCTCAGTGGTAGGTTTGAGGCTCCATGTCCCGTCGAACAACGCAGAAAGTAGAGGTTCTCGGTCGCAGCCCAGCTTGGTGAGAACGTCAGCAAGCATCCTTGATGTATCACACCAGTGAGCATATGCTGGCGAATCATCTTCAAAGCTGTTCTCGCCGATGAGGTCCTTGACCTGTGCCAGCAAAATCCGGACCCGCTTGTCCTGAGGCTGGCCAGCGTCCTTGTTGAGGGTCTGCTCGAGGCTCTTGGCGTCCGTGATGCAGATGATCTTCTCCTTCAGGTAGTGGACATCCAGCTCATAGATCGGAACGGTTGGCTTTATGATCTCCATGAGCAACGTCCTTAAGAACTCGCCAGCCTCGACGCCAGCAAGGAAGCCATTCGCTTCAGCTGCCAGCGTGCTCCTGCAGACTCTCTTGATGGATCCCGAGTATGTCTCCAAGACATATACAGGTACCTCTTCACCACTCAGGATATCCTTGCTCGTGAGCCCGACCACATATCCACATTGCGACTTGCCTCCCTCAATGTTCGCGAAGCTGCTGTCTGCAAAGCAGAAGACAACGGAGTCCTCGAGGGTCAGGTGGCTCTTGCGAAAGCACCACTTTGCCTCCGAGGTTTCCTTCAACAACTTCACTGCCTTGTTGAGGTTGACGACGTCCTTGATGGTCGGATGGCCCATGGACTGGGAGGCCATGCTCACATTCACCATGAGGTCGGGTCTGGATTGCCTCGTTACCCAGCCCATCTGTCCGATAAGTCCTCGGAACGCGGTCTTTTCCACTTCAGTAAGCGGGGAGCCTGGTGACTTTCTTCTCTCGGCTTCGAGGACCATGTAGTCTATCCCCTCAATGGCGTCGTACTGGTCCACCTCAATGCTCCCCTCCTTCTGGACGATGTTCTTGCCACAAGACCTGAACTCGCCACTCTTGGTCTTAAGGTGGAGGTCCTTCTGCAGCTCCTTCAAGGTGTTGTGGTAGCGCTCGCTTTCTCCAGCACTGTAGAGGTCGTCGACGTGGGTCAGCAGGATCCCTTCGAGGTTTCCGCTCTGGTCGGCGAGGAAGAACAGCGCCGGCTCTATGCTGGACATCTTCCACTCATACTTTCTGAGGGTACGGTAGAGCTTCCTCCACCAAGAGCGTCCAGCATCTCTGGTCCCATAGATGGACCCTTTTGCCCTCAAGAGGTCGTGTGGGCTTACTCCAGGAGGTGGTGGTCGAGGAGGTCTCAGGATCAGAAGTCTACTGATCCCTTGCGACTGCAGATAAGCTGTCGAAGCGTCGCATGCAGTGATCGTCCATCCCTTGAGAACTGCCACTGCGCAGATCACGTTGAAGGACAACAAAGACGCGGTTGGGCTGTCTGACCTTATGCTCTGCTGATCCTCTTGGCAGCCCTGCACCACAAGCCTGCTCTTCGCCTCGAAAGGGTAATCCTTGTCGATCTGGTTCTTCGTCTTGCCGGTGCGCCTTGCCAAGTAGGATGCGAGTAGCCGTGGCTTCGCATTCTTGTCCGTGTGGACCCACCTTGTGCCGACGATCTTGACATCCTTGGGCAGGTCTCGGATCTGCTCACTGGTGAGCTTTTCCACGGCATTGAACTTTTGCCACGAGTCCCATTCTTTAGCCATTGATTTGTCGAACTTCTCCCGGTCCTCTTGGCTGAGCTCCTTTAGCTTGACCTCAGACTTCACCGCAGCCTTGCCGGTTAGGAAGATGTCGGCCGGTGTCAGGTAGTAGGCCGCCTCATCCTCGGTGTCCGTGTCATCGTCTGTGTCCAGCTCGTACTGGGAAGTGTCCCCGACCATTCTTCGGAGCCTTGTGTCTCGAACTGTTCTCGTCAAACTTTGCGGTTCCCATATCTCCTCCTCCAAGAAGTATGGCGCATCGGTGTCCGGCCTTCTCGAGGTTCTTGCTGGGCTGTAACCATCAAGGCGGTCGGGGTTCCTGAACACATTGTCCCTGAGCACGGCCGGCGGTGGCGCCAAAGAACTTGAAGGTGCCGAGGTTGGCGGCATAGCCGGCGCAATCGGCGGTGTAGGTTGCGGTTCCGGTTCCGCAGACATCTCCGAAACCTGGCGTGGACCAAGCGGTGGTACTGGAGTCTCTGGTGGCAACGGCGTGGTAGTAGTGTCCTGCTCGCCCGTCCTCGCGTCCTGTCTCGGCAGCTCGCCCGTCCTTGCCCTCTGTGCTGGAGGTTGTTCGGCGCCAATATTGTCCAAAGTGCCTCCTTCGTCTCCTTCAAGGACAGGTGGCAGGTACTCGGGCAAGACGGGAATGCTGGTGCCGGGTATGATGGCAGAGGTCGAGGGCGAAATCGTAGTCGATGCTGTGGCCTGTTGTGGTACCTGAGGTGTGCCCGACTGTGGTAGTTGTGCCGTAGGTCTCGTCAGCGGTGGCCGTAGATCAACAAAGCCTCTTGCACCTCGTGCATAGCTGGGCGCTAGCACTTCTTGTGGCACCATGTGTGCCGCAAGCAGCTCATCTTCACTTGCAAAGCATAGCTGCTCACCGGTGACAAGCACAACAGAAGGGCCGTACCGAAGCCAATAAGCATGTGGTTGTCCTCCTTCTGTCGGGTGCTCGGCATCCTGCAGCCTGCGCTGATTGCGAAGCTCTATGCCAATGACCCTTGCGGGGCCGTGCCATCTGAATGGTCTGGTCTCACCCGGCGGCGCTTGCACACGATAGAAGTAGACATAGCTGCCAACAGGGTAAGGGCCTCTTGTGGGTGTGCTTTTGTGAAGCAAGGCACGGCGAACACGCCCGTCAGTATCAAGCTTCACTTGTGCCACCCGCGCGGCCTCTCGCATGCTGAGTGATCTCGCCATTGCCGAGGTAGGGTCCTCTGCAGCTTCAAGGACCTCTAGGCGCTCTGCCTCCTCATCAACAAGGAGGCTGCCAGGTATGCGCACTTCTGGTTTGCCCAAAACCCATTGATTGGGAGTGAACCCTGAAGCCCTCGGAAACTGTTCCTGGCTTGCGTGACGATGCTCGTGGCTAGCACAATGTCGCTGAGACCGCTGGCCTGGACATCATGTACTGTCCTCTGGAAAATCTCTTTCCACAACCCCCCAGCTCGTTCAACTTTCCCCTGTTTCCAAGGAGCTTCAAGCGGCATCACCTCTTGTTCTACCCCGAAGCGTTTCAGGTAGTCGCTGAAGCTTGCAAGAAACTCTTTCCCGCGATCGACCTGAAGGCTGTTTGGCAGACCTGCCCATGACGACCAGGCGGTAAGGAAATGCCTCAAGATGACACTGGAAGACGGTGGCCCGGTAGAATCCCCCAGGCAACTCACGACCTGGAATCCAGTGGCATCACAGATCACGTTCAAGAAGGCGAACATCACGCCACGAATGTCCTTGTCATAGAACACGTCGATCATCAGGTGGTTGTTGAATTCGTACTTGGTGGGCAAACGAACTGGCTTTGGCCGTCTCCTCCGGATACTTTCGCCACAAGCGTCACAAGCAAGGAAATCAACACCACGAATTGCATCTGCCCTGGCGCCTTGTCTCCTCAGGATACGCTGTTCGTGGGGTGGCCGAAGTTCACGCGAAGGTCTCGAAGGCATTTTCGCAGCTCCGGCCTGAGTCT